AATGCGCATCCACGAGCCCATTCGCGGGAATGGAACCCAGAACATCCGGTTTCGTGCGTGAAGGATTAGTCTCTAGACCGCTGAGGTGACCGGCATCTGACGGTGTTAATATATAACTTCAACCAATCCACGAAATTGCGCCACCGTCCACCATTATATTCAGTGAGTAACTGCCTCACAACAGATGCAGTTGAATTCCACTAGTCACAGATTCTCAACAGAACTCCAGGAAAAATCTCATAGAGCCAGTCACTAGTGAGCACATAGTGCTTATTATCAGAAAGGAGGTTTAGTGGAGATTGTAGTAATTTAATAGTTAATATTCACTTGGTATTGTTGACTTGAATATTCTCATTGATGTCTAGGACTACAACTGATCAGTCTCTAATCAGGATTTGTATATCCTTTGCGTATTGCCTCGATGTTACTTTAATTCGCAAGCATTATAAACAAAGACGGGTAGTGGCTAGCAGTGGAATCCAGTTTGACGCGCGTTTTGTCCTATTTGGGACTCGTCAGCGGGATGTACCTGCATCTCAGACTTGTTGATGTTCACTCAGGACTCGGGACCAGTGCCGTTCGCTTCAAATGCCATCGCGTTATCTACGGGTCCAAAATAGGACGGAACCTGCGTTATGGATTCCACTGCTAACCACTATCTATCTTTGTTTTTAGTAGCTAATAGTCTAGCTTTAGTCGACTCATGAGTTCATCTATTAAATTACTGCAAGCCCCACAAATCCCCCATTTTTGAAAATAAAAATTAACTTGAAAAACTCATAAATCTAACGTTCATTTGATGAACATATTCAATGTATTACTATATCTTGGAAAATGGTCAGCAATGAAATGGAAGAAGCCTGGTTTCGTCCTATTTAATACTTATCAGTGAAATATATTGGATTCTTCATTTAGATGATATTTGACATCACCTTAGTCAACTATGATTGATTTGATTTACGGAGTTGGTGTGTGTTAATGCCTTAACTCAATGACTTCGTAATTGTTAACTACACAGAGTTACCGGATCTCTAATCAGAAGACAAGAATAAGATAGTCTATTAGATTTCTCTGATGAACGGGAACACACATAAGGACAATCGAATCTTATTAAAATCTCTCTCCCTTCCAGCCAAACAGGTTGGTGAAGTCTAGTAGGCCCTTCTGGAGAGAAACAGGCCACATCGAAGTACGGCACAACTATCGGGAGTAGAATAACTGTTTTTGCAACCATTTGGAGTTTGCCCCGTGAGGAGCACCCTTGCACATCATATGCACCACTTTTGTCAATTTTTTATCCTTTTTCCATCCAAGAGTAATTGTGCTGTGTTTCTTTGTGGAGTTCGTAATCGATTTGAGGATATTGGTCGAGTGGGTGAGTTGTCCGACCTCTACTACTCGGGTTACCGCTCACGTTGGTTCATGAGTCATTCGTCCTACTATCCAGTAGGCACAACGTGGATGTGTGAGTCGGATTTTGCATCCCATTAAAATCTGAGAACCATACAATAAATACTTCATTCCCAAAACGTCAGTCAATCGTCTCAGATTTCACTGTCCCTTTATTTCCACACCAGTTGACCTAAAAGGCCAATCAATATACAACCCTTCTTATTTCAGAAATCGATAGTTCTTGTCTCTCTTGATTCACTATTCTTTTTAACATATTTGATTTAAAAGAACAATTAAATAGTTTTGTCACACACTGCCACTTAACACAATAATACCCATAGATATGTGATATTATATACAGGATAATCGACTGATCACAATAAGATAGTGGTTGGAAGTAATCAACAGGAAACACTGGACCTAGGTTTCATGCTACTTGGCACTCGTCAGTAAGGTGTACCTGTAATCTTGAGGGAACTGATGTTCCCTGATAGATTCGATCCCATATCACCCAGCCTCACATTCAGAAACAATACTGATCACAATAGTAGATAATTCAACCACCATACTCATAATGTTCTATGCGAATACACAATATCAGACCAAAAGTTGATAACTAGACACTAGATTAGGCCTTGTGATTAGAAAGGTTTTTCGGCATCTACGTTGACACATATGTGTTCAATGGTCACATTATGATTTGAATTGGCTGAATATACACTGAGAATCAAAAAGTATTGGACAGCTGTTTTCTCCTTGTATGAGACTATTGAACAGTGCACATGTACGATCTACAGTATTAGTTATAGTCATGTTCTCTAGTGACCACATTTGCAGTGTTATTCCTGAACTACAAATGAGGATTACTGTTTAATATAGTTCAACAATTTTAGCAGTGTGTCATTTACCATCAATATTATTGAAAGATGATCAAGTATTATAGCGAACTAAGTAAGGTTGGGCATAACGGCTCTCTACCATAATTAAAGATCCTGAGCATCATCTTTGGTAGGGCTTTCGATTCACACTTCTAAGTAGTCAAATATCAGGAAAAATTCACTGTCCACTGTTTTGTTGATTTTAAGTCTTCTGTTAAACTAAGTAGGGATTTGTGTTCACTTATTTCGAAGTTATGGTCAATCTTTGAGAGACAATAAAGTGACCTGGAAGATGTCCACCTAGAAACTAGGACTAAATGAGGATTATAAACCAGTATGAGGAATCTGGATTATGATTCTCAGTCGATGGTTAGGGTTAGGAATCGGATTTAGTTTTTTCATCACGAACTGACATCAGCTATGATGCCATAACGCTACTAAGCCAAATGGATGAATGAATTTCGCGCCATGATTCGCTACCTTATATCTGATTAGTCCGTCCGTAAATCATAGTCTCTCTGTGTTTAAATTGATATCACAACGAGATCAATGTTAGACTACCATTGAAAACCTGGAAGCACTGGACAACAGTTTCATCATAGCATGGGACTCGTCAGCACTGCGCATCCAAAAAGTGTTCGGTAGAAGTGTTCTTCATATTATCTTTTTATGGTATTATCAGCTTGCTGTATTCCAGTTATTTTTGTACGAAACATGGACAATACGATAATAAATCATCAGTTTGTACTATGCTATTGACAAATTATAAGTAGTACATCTTTGTTTTGTAAAATTTAAGTGGAAAAAAATCTTACATCCATTTCAATGAGTTTTTGTATTCAAGAGCATACAGTAATTCTGAAATGAATTACAAGCATCCTTTCATAAAATGAGCACGCTCAATCCCGACTTTTTCGCTGGTGTTATGTTAGTCAAGATCTTGTGAATAAATCTGATACATTCACTTGGTATTGTTTACTTGAATATTCCCATTGATGTCTTAGGACTACAATTGATCAGTCTTGTATTGGCCTATGTTCATCCTTTGTGTATTGCCTCGATATTGACCTAATTTACAAACATTATAAGCGAAGATGGATAGTGGATAGTAGGGGAATCCAGTTTGACGAGAGTTTCATCCTATTTGGGACTCGTCAGATGAATGTACCTGCATGTCAGAATTGTTGATGTCCACTCCAGGATTCGAATCATGTATCGCTCATTTCAAATGCCATTGTGTTATGCACTTAGACAATGAATGCTGATAGCTACGTGCTTGTGTAATGGGGTGAAGCTCAAATTCATTTTGTATTGTTTGTCTGAATCTTCTTATTGATGTTTAGGTCTGCAATCGATGGGAAGTTTCAAGTAAACAGTACCAGGTGAATTTTAACTGCACACCACTGCACAAGCAAGTGGCTATCAGAACTCAGTAAATAAATGGATAAAGCAATAGCATTTGAAATCAACGATACTGGATAGGAGTCGGAGAATGAATATGAACTTTGAGATGTAAGTACGTCTAACCAACGTGTCCTAAAATAGGACGAAACGCTTGTCCTAGATTCCACTTCTAACCACTATCCATCTGTGCCTAGTCTGATACAGTTCCGTTATTTTCTGTCTGATACACAACAAGTCTTTAAATATATGTCTAATAGTCAATGGTTTATAATGGTTACAACTAGCTCGGTGTTTTTGTCATTATAACTTTCAATTCATTACGACTTTCTCAGTAATTATGTTTGAGCTGACAATCACAGTATCATTAATGTACTATCGTCCTGATGGCGTTTACATGTCTACGTTTTTTTGATGGAAGTGTTTAAGGTCACTTAAGTCCTACTCACTGCCTTCTCGCTCAACGGGTGTTATTTACGAAATTGAGAGAATGAAAAACGAATTTCCGGCACGAGCTTTAACCGGGTTGGTGGGTACGGAGGATCCACCTAGTCGAGTTGGAAAACCCTCATTCCAAACCAATGGTGCACATGGGCGCCAGAATTCTGAAGGAATAAATGGTGTATGGATCAATCATTGTTCACCGACTACCACGGGACTCCATCTCCTGATGTTGCTCCACTGCCTTGTGGATCTGACCTTCAAGTCGAAGGCTTTGGAAGTGGTCTCCTAAGCAAACCATCTGCTTCGGTTTGGGCACCCAGTTAGTATACTAACTCACACACAAATCAAGTAACTTGTGTGGCGCATCTGTAGTTGGTGCTTCTTTGTACCAATATTTTCTATGTTCAAATAAATAAATAAACGAGATCAAGAATGGATAAATTGACCTGTCCAGTAGCTAAAATAAGTAATGTGTGGGCTTAACAATGGTAACCGACACTACAGAACACTCCCAAGACAAATTATCATCCAAAAAACACGGGCAAGTTTCTTTCCTCTCTCCCTTCCAACCTTATTGAAAAACCACAAATGTATCATATGCTTCGTCTACAGCCTCTCTAGGGCTACTGCCGGTCCTAAGCCCCAATAAAGGAGAAGGGTCAAGTATGGGGTTAGAGACCCCATCTCGTAGAAAACTAACTCGCTAAACAAAATGCCAAATGTATCACATATATACTTGTATATTTATATTGCAAAAAAACAAACAAAAATAAAATAGAGAAATCATTCATTCAATCATTCATTTGTAACTAAGTTATACAGCTGAATACAATGGAAAACATTATGAAAAGTTATATATATGCCAATACATTTACAAGTAAGTAAGTAGGTAAGTAGGGTAGGTAAGGTAGGTAAGCAAGTTAATATACATTTATGAATAGAACATTGTATTCGGATTATTTCTTATAAAATTACATTCAAATGGTAAGTAACTCTTTGTGTTATTGTTGAGATATTTCAGTGTTTTGGTTCATCTGTTATCTACCGACCCAGAATTGATGATGTTCCGTTGTAATAATGCCTTCTAAATGTATATAAATGGTGAGTGATTAGTGAATTATCATTCATAGATTATGTTTTACTGAATCGAGATTATGAATCGATTGATGTTAGATCGTGGTTGGAAAATTGGAAGTTCACTAGTGACTAGATCTAAGATGATTTCTTAGAGTTCTAGTGAGAAGCCGAGACCAGGGGGGTTCAGTCCTGTGTCGGATAGAGACAGGTATCTACCTCATTACAATAGATGAATGGTTGCTCAGCTATTCGATGGAAGTTCAATATTAACACTACTGGATATTGTCTTAGTGATCTAAAGGTTAAGGGTACGTGCGTGTAGACCGATGGTCCTGAGTTCAAGTCCCATGTGCGGGATCGTGGGTTCTCACTTCTTACTGAGGAGTCTCATACTAGGACGAAATGGCTGTCCAGTGATTCCAGATTTTCAATGATGATCTAGCATTAATCGATTCATGATCTCAATCAAAAATGTAACAATTTCCATAATCTCATACTGATGGTCATTTTTTCATTAGGTATTTAAAACAATAAGTCTTATGAATATCTCATTTACAAAGAATTGTTGCTAACTCGAGAACCATTGAGAATTAGTATTTATAGGACAGTTACTTCAATGATAGTGTTTTATCAACATTAATTTAAGCTAGAAATACGTGCTTTAAGTATTGGATACGCACTGCAGAGGAGTCCCACAATAGGACGGAACGGTCATCCATTATTTCCAAGTTTTCCATGGTGGTCTAGCTTCAAATGACTCATGATCTCAGCTATTGATACTGAACTAATAGTCTAAAAGTATTCTGATTACTAGAAGTTTTGATAATTGTGTTGACACTTTCCTCGAAGTTAGAACTTTAACAAGAAAGCCAATCTAAGACTGTTTGCCTTACCATAATATTCGTGAAGGATATTTACTACTACCGATTATGATGGCTAATATATTTGAAATTATGCAGTACATTGAAATTTAGATTAAGGAGCAATAATACACTAGGGTTTTAATGAGAACTAGTGATAAAGGCAATCCTATTAGTTGTCTTCGAGGAAACGATAAACCGGTCATGCGCTTTACGTGAAAAATATGAACTAACCAATGAGTTTATTTATGCCAGTGGTAGAATATATTTCCATCCCATGTAACCACGAATTGTAAAATCTAAATTTAACAATATTTTTAGCGGCGCGCTTTTACTACTCATAAGTAGCCCAAAATTGATTGTGAAAAAAAGTGACTACATGTTTTTTTCTCATACATATCACAGCTAGATTACGTGAGCTCAGTATCAGGGGGACAATAGTAGAAGTTTGCTAATCATTTTTTTTAGTCATTTGCGATTATTCGTACCATTCTATGATAGTTAGAGGTAGATAGAGGTTAGGCATTGGTTGGAAAGTATTCAAAATTCGTTCTTTACATGATAATTATCTTGTTATGTGGTTAGTATCACTGACTGGTCTTAGGTAAATCACTGTTGAAAACCAGGATGTGCTGAATAGTTATTCCGTCCTAGTATTGAACTATTAAGAAGTGCACTACTTTGTAATGTTATCAGTAGGTAACTGTCCTAATCTAGATACAGATACACTTGACTGACTATGCATATTCATATTCCCCCCTATAATAAGCTTTATTTTGACTCATAGACCGTCATTACACAATTCACCATGCTTGAGTTACACCCAGTCTATTAATTACAGTCTCTCATATTCATATCCACTTTTGGCTTGATCTTGTCCAGATGTTGATTCCTATTTTATGGTATGATGTGGTCTGTTTGGTTTGTATATAAACCCAGTATGTTTGAAATACGTGATCCAAATCGTGGAGGCTGAGATTAATGTTCTGGACTTAACAGGCAGGGTTAGGCAAGAAGAAGGACCGATAAGGACTCTAAAATGCTTGTACGGGTTTACGCGTCATTGGTCTGTTCGATAAATCACTGTCCTCTGATTGTCAGTATCAATACGTTATCTATTAATAAGGTACAAGACTACAAGTTATAACAATACCGAATTATTGTATTACATAGATCTGAGAACATTCACATAGTAATAATCTCTCACGATCTTCCTTTATCTCTATCTCTCTTACCTGTATACTTCTGAGCATATCTTCAATTGTTGTAAGTTGATTTTGGAAATCCTCCTGACGTAATGAAATATCAGCAACTCTTTCATAAACATTGGTTTGAAGCTATTAGATATTAAATGAAAACAAAAAAGAAAATAACATTGATGAAAATGAAGCTTAGAATTTTCTCAATGATAGTTCTATTTTAAGAAGAATGTTAACACTAATAGTTCAAACTATGGACGGTCTTGACTTCGTAGATGATCTGGTACTTCTATCGTACATGTAACAACAAATACAGGGAAAGATGACCAGTGTAGCAACAGCCTCATCAACTGTAGGTCTCAACATATACAAAGGGAAAACCAAGATTCTTTTATACAACACAACATGCAACAGTCGAGTCACACTTGACGCAGAAGCTTTGAAGGATATAAAAACTTTTACATATCTGGACAGCATCATAGATGAACACGGCGGATCTGATGCAGATATGAAGGTGCGAATCGGCAAACCAAGAGCAGTATATATACAACTGAAGAACATGTGGAACTCAAAACAACAGTCTGTCAACCAACATTACAGTCACAATATTCAATACAAATGTCAAGACAGTTCTACTGTATGTGGCGGGAACTTGGAGAATTACGAAAGCCATCACCAAAATGGAACAAGTATTTCTAAAAAATTGTCTACACAAGATACCCAATGTCCGTTGACCGGATACCATTAGCAACAGACTACTGTGGGAGAGAAAAAACCAACTTCCAGCTGGAGAGAAAATTAGGAAAACACGTTGGAAGTGGATGGAAATACACATTTCGGAAATCATCAGACTGAATCACGAAGCAAACACTAACTTGGAAACCTGAAAGGAAACAAAAAAAAGAGGAAGTCCAAAGAGCACACTATGTTGAGAATTGGAAGCAGACATCATAAGGACAGATAGCGACTGGAAAAAACTGGTGAGGATTATCTAGGACAGTGTTGGATGGTCAATGCTGGTAGACAGATAACAGTAGTTTTGTCAGTGCATAACTGTTTGTTATTCGTGATTATTGACCCATGGTACAACAAACTTGATTGGAATGTTTCATAACTCCTCCTTATGTATATCTTAACAAATGTGAAGTGATGAATTCAGTAGGATATCTTATAATCATTTATGAAATGATGATCTGTGTATAAAATCATGGAGTTAATTTTCTTAGTAACAATCAATTTTATGACATGATAGACGGTCTTCGGAATTGAGCATTCATTTGTGACACCGAATGTCTTGAATTCAATGCCCTATATGGTTTATATGCTCACTGCTACTAAGGTTTCCCTTATTATTATTATTATCAATGATCTAGAGGTTGAGCGTTCATGCTCGAGATTGGAAGTCCTAGGTTCAAATCTCACGTTCAGAATCGTGGATGCACACCACTGAAGAGTCCCATACTAGGACGAAACAACCTTCGATTGATTCCGGGTTTTCAATAGTAATCTATCTGGGATGGACTCATGAATTCAACTTTGATTATCATTTATTTCATTTTAACGTTTACAATTTTATTTTTTATTAAAATATGAACTATTTAAAAACGTGATTTAATTCACCCGAAATATCAAGTTTGTTTTGTATGAATCAGGGAAACAAAGTGGGAAGGGGAGAGAGAGAGAAAGAGGGAGAAAGGGAACTGGAGACAAGTAAAATCACTTCAAATTGCGTGCATCTTGAAAATAAATTTAAACAAGTCTGAGTGTTTTAATGTTTCAAAACAAAAACATTGAATGAAATACATTGAAGATACTACCACCACCACAACCACCACCACCACTACTACTACTACTACTACCCTTACTACTACTCCCACCACTACTACTACTACTACTACTACTACTACTACTACTACTACTACTACTACTACTACTACTACTACTACTACTACTACTACTACTACTACTACTACTACTACTACTACTACTACTACTACTACTACTACTACTACTACTACTACTACTACTACTACTACTACTACTACTACTACTACTACTACTACTACTACTACTACTACTACTACTACTACTACTACTACTACTACTACTACTACTACTACTACTACTACTAATACTACTACTACTACTACTACTACTACTACTACTACTACTACTACTACTACTACTACTACTACTACTACTACTACTACTACTACTACTACTACTACTACTACTACTACTACTACTACTACTACTACTACTACTACTACTACTACTACTACTACTACTACTACTACTACTACTACTACTACTACTACTACTACTACTACTACTACTACTACTACTACTACTACTACTACTACTACTACTACTACTACTACTACTACTACTACTACTACTACTACTACTACTACTACTACTACTACTACTACTACTACTACTACTACTACTACTACTACTACTACTACTACTACTACTACTACTACTACTACTACTACTACTACTACTACTACTACTACTACTACTACTACTACTACTACTACTACTACTACTACTACTACTACTACTACTACTACTACTACTACTACTACTACTACTACTACTACTACTACTACTACTACTACTACTACTACTACTACTACTACTACTACTACTACTACTACTACTACTACTACTACTACTACTACTACTACTACTACTACTACTACTACTACTACTACTACTACTACTACTACTACTACTACTACTACTACTACTACTACTACTACTACTACTACTACTACTACTACTACTACTACTACTACTACTACTACTACTACTACTACTACTACTACTACTACTACTACTACTACTACTACTACTACTACTACTACTACTACTACTACTACTACTACTACTACTACTACTACTACTACTACTACTACTACTACTACTACTACTACTACTACTACTACTATTACTGGTACTATGACTGCTACTAATAATTCTACTACTTTATTAATAATATTTTGAGTAAACTCTATATGTTTGTAGGTATTCCATTTGCTATGAGAGGTATCCATTTGAAACAACAATATTAATAATAATTTCTAGTGTAAACGATCATGTTAATTGTAGAAACTTGAATAGAATAATTATTGTCAGGCAATTGTATTCCTTCAAATAATATTTACATTATATAGTACATAATTGAATTGAATAGGCAATAAAGAAGGAGAAGAAGAAGAAGAAGAAGAAGAAGAAGAAGAAGAAGAAAAAATATCATGAAATATGAAGACGAAGTAGAAGAAAAAGAGAAGGTGAATGATGAAATGAAGTAACTGATAATATGGGATTGTGTAGATAATTAAGTTTATTGTTTAGATCATGAACTGAATGATGTTAGATCACAAGTGAAAACCTGGAAGCAGTGGATGGACGTTTCGTTCCATTGTGGTACTCCTCAGCAATACGCATCCACAATCCTGTTCGTGGGATTCGAACCCAGTGTTAGTGTTAGGGATAGGTCTAACATCAATCGATTCATGATCTCAATGAAGTAACTGAATTGGGACTTCATTTTTACGTGTATGTGTTTGTTGATGGATAGAAAGAACGAGAGAGAGAGTGAGTGAGTGAAAGCATAGAACAGAAGTTTCGTACTAGTCTAAAACTGCTTCATGGTGTACTGTAGGGTCTGGTCCTAATTTAAACCCACATAGATTATTCTAGCTTCTGGATAGGCCAATCTATTCATTCTTCTTAAGCTACATATTGACCTTGTCACTAATTTGCTTATCAACCTTGACTGTTTATATGTAACTGTATATGTGTGTGCACTTCTTATACCGTTCATCACATGTCTGACTATAAATATCGATTCATGTTTGGTTAAACTGAGTTGGCTCACATGCCTTCTCTATTGTTAGTCATTTTGTCTTGCCTCGCTTTCCGACCAACGATTGAACAGAATCTTTTAGTAAAATCTAAGAACTAAACAGCAAATACTTTATTGTTGTTTTGTTTTCACACCAATCACTCTCTGTACTGGTTCACTTTTCATCCATCTTCTTAACCTTCTGCCACCAGACATTTCATTTTCGGTTGATGATATATACTACTTATATCTGTAGAGATCAATAACGCACACCGCACAATGCTATCCACTTCCATCGTCTAGTCCCGATTTCCTGTTCAAAAAGAAACAGGTTTGTTCTCTCTCACAATAGGCTAATGTTCATGGCAACCGGTCAATGGACAGTCAGTATCTTGTGTAGACAACTATTTATAAATACTTGTACCTTCTTGAATAAGGTTGTGGTAGTTCTTCAAGTGTCAGCTCCGTGTAGTAGAACTGTCTTGACGTTCGTATTGATGATTCTGACTTTATTATTGGTTAACAGACAATTGTTTTGAGTTGCATATGCTCTTCAATTATAGGAATGCGGCTCTTCCTTTGCTAATCCTTATCTTCACATTTGCATCAGATCCTCCGCGTTCATCGATGATACTGTCCAGGTTAGCGGTTAGCACTGGAATCCAGGACGCATGTTTCGTCCAATTTCGGACTCGTCAGCTGGATGTATCTGCATCTCAGACTTGTTGATGTTCACTCGAACCCTGTACCGTTCACTTCAAATACCATCGCGTTATCCACTCAGCTACTGAGTCCTTATAGCCACTTGCTTGCATAAACTTCATAGCCACTATCTATCTTTACATAGTAAAATTTCACATGTTAATTTGAATAAAACATTTCCAGATATAAAAATAAATCGTCTTACCTTTGCTAAATCCACTAAAGAGTTTGATTTATCTTGAAGTTCACGTTGTTTCACCTTCATTGTTCTTAATCTAAAATGAGATTGATTATTTAAAACAAATTCAGGTTGAGAAACTTAAACAAATATGTCTACAATAGTTAGCATGAAAGCCTGACCTCAATTAAACAATCTATGAAGACCGATAATCACTAGGCAGTTGTTCCTTCATATACTGCGACTCTCCATTGATGATCATGTGCAGCAACGATCAACCAGTAAACAAACACAATATGCTTAGGTATCGTACTTACTTATGCCTGTTACACTTCGTGGAGGAGCATAGGCCAACCATCAGCACTCTCCATCCAACTCTATCCTAGACAATCCTTTCCAGCTCTTTACAGTTGTTATTCATCCTTTTCATATCCGTATCTATTTCCCGACGTAATGTATTATTTGGCTTTCCTCTTTTCCGCTTCCCTTCTGGATTCCAAGTTAAGGCTTACCTCGTGATCCAGTTTGATGATTTGCGTAATGTATGTCCTATCCAATCCTAACGTCTTTTCCTCACTTTTTCTTCAACTGGAAGCTGGTTTGTTCTCTCCTACAGTTGGCTGTTACTGATAGTATCCGGCCAATGGATGTTGAGTATCTTGTGTAGACAATTATTTATAAATACTTGCACCTACTCGATGATGGTTATAGTAGCTCTCCAATTTTCAGCTCTGTATAGTAGGACTGGTTTGACGTTCGTATTGAAGATTCTGACTTTAATGTTGGTTTACAGGCAGTTGTTTCGAGTTCTAGATGTTCGTCAATTGTGGGAATGTTGTCCTTGTTTTAACAGTGCTCGCCTTACGTCTACACCAGATCCTCCACGTTTGTTGATGGTACTATTCTGGTACGTGAAAGACCTCAAATTTTCCACAGTTTCGCCGTCAAATAAAGCGGGCGCTTTGATGGTTTATATGTCTACTTTCAGTCAAGGAAATCGGCATTATGAACACACATATTAGACCATGTTATTTATGTACTAGTAATCTTGATTGCGTTTAACAAGCTATTATGTGTGCATTTTTTTATAGAGATGATGAATCGATTGATGTTAAACCACCATTGAAAGCCTGAACGGGGATTTACCTAAGACAATGGATAAATGGTTGCGCAGTCAATCATGGATCTATGGAAGTTAGACATTAACCCCATTGGATGCCGGCTAGGGGTTAATCGTTCGCGTGCGATACTGATGGTCTTAGGTTCCGAACCCGCATACGGAGTTGTAGATGCACAATTCAGAGGAGTCCCATACTAAGACAAAAAGCCGTCTATTGCTTCCAAGTTTTCAATAGTGGTCTGACATCGATCGATTCATAATCTCCATCAAAAACTTAACATTCTCCACAACTTCATACTGATGGTTTCTTTAAATCATTTACTCTTTTCTGTCTGACACTAAACATAGAGAGTGACATTTACAAAATTAAGTTCATATGTATTCCTGTTCGCCCCACATTGTTCGTCTGCATTATTGATTGTCTGAACCACACGTCATGACTTAATATTGAAGTATTGTAGTATATGTGTTCTTACGATGAGATTATAAGTTATGGACGACCGTTGAACACCACTGAAATAACCTTGGTATTTGGCGGCGGTTGAAGGTGGTCGACAAGAAACCCCAGATCCAGGTTTCATGCTATTCGGCACTCATTAGTAAGGTGTACCTGTAACCTTGAGGGAAGTGATGTTCCCTGATGGATTCGATCCCATGCCACCCAGCTTCACAGTCAGAGACGTTATCGTCGGGCTATCCGAGTTGCGATTGAGCTCCTGTACTAACAATTAGTTGATCACTGAGTGGTGATCAGTTTCATGTATATCAGGTGCTCCTTAGTGCCTGGACAGCCCAGTAGCGACGTCTCTGACTTTGAAGTCGGGTGAAACGGGGTCGAATCCATCAGGGAGCATCAGTTCCATCGAGATTACAGGTACTTCTTGCTGATGAATGCCAAATAGAACGAAACCTAGGTTCAGGGTTTTCTGTTAACTATGTTCAACCATCATGTTATCCCAACATAGTGCACACAGTATCGATTCACCTAGACTAGTGGCCACATCGCAACTTGGTCGATAGGATTGCACCTGCACTAAGAAGAACCTGACATACATGTCACTGATCATCAGCCAGTGATCAACCAATTGTACTGTGTATAGCATATACACCTGTTTACTATGGTTAAGTGAGGGTCATATATTAGTGTGGGGAATTAGAATTATCATTCACAGTTGATAGATAGGGTTAAGAATTAGATTAAGTCAAATGAGTGAATGAATTTCATACCAAAGTCCAAGATCCCCTACCATAAATTTGATTGGTTTGTCCATAAATTATAATCTCACCGTTTTTTGTTTCTAAACGTTCATAGATATAAGATCTTATTAGCGTAAGTTCCTGAAACAAAACACCGTCTATTTACTTTCAAATTTGTGAAGAATTAAAGTAAATAATAGGAAGAAAAATAAAACCCGTTTCCAAAGGCACAAGGGAGCTTTATTTCGTGAAAACAAGTCACGTTAAGCAAAGATGAATGGTGACTAGTAGTGGAATCCATGTCGCGCATTTCGTCCTATTTGAGACTTGTCAGCTAGATATACCTGCATTCCAGACTTGTTGATGTTCACTACGGGACTCGAACCCAGTACCGTTCACTTTAAACGCTACTTAGCTACTGAGTCTTGATAGCCCACTGCTTGTATAATGAGGTGAAGATTAAGTTCAATTGATATTATTTGCTTGAATCTTCCTATTGATGTTTAGGACTGCAATTGATCAGTCTCTTATTGGCATATGTGTATACTTCATTCAAGTCTCGAAGTGGACATCAACAAATCTGGGTTGCAAGTACATCCATCTAACGAGTCCAGAATAGCACAAGACGTCCGCCCTAGATTCCACTACTAGTCACTATCAATCTTTGCTTATAAAGCGTGTGACTTAAGACAATATCGAGGCAATCCGCACAGGATGTACATATGCCAATCAATCGTAGTCCTAAATAACAACTGTAAAATACAAGCAAATAATACCAAGTAAATTTAAAGGTAGATTTGTTATCATCATTATTTTAACTACTTCCTAAGTATGCAGTTGGTTTTATACCGAATTGGCACATACATTGAAATCTATCAATCATAACAAAATCTTCCCTTTATTCTTAAACAAAGTGAATTAGTTAACAAATGACTATACACATCGATTACATGAAACTGTAGTGTTAATTGCTATGTTAAGCTTACATAGCCTATTCTGGCTTTTGGATAAGCCAATTTATCCATTCACTTCAAGCGACATTTCTAATTTGTTAGTTCTTTGTTAGTGAGACTAGAATTTATGGACGCGAAAGTAACTTTGAGAATGCCCACCTAATAACCAGTACCAAATGAGGGTTATAAATCAATGTGAAGTATTAGATTTAGGGTTTTTATCACGAACTAACATCACCTAAAATAGTGAAACTCTATTTAGTCAAATGGATGAGTGAATTTCATGCCAAAATCCGAGACCTCTTTATCTTTTATATACCTAATTGGTTCTTCCATTAGTTATAGTCTCATCTATTTGTTTATCAATCATGACTACGTTTATGTAAGCGTGTGTGTGTACACTTCTTGTCCTATTCATCACATGACTGTAAGTTATATTTGTTCGGCTTTAAACATTCATGAACACTGTGGTTAAATTGAGTTGTCTCAGTCGCCTTCTCTACTGCACGTCATTTTGCCTCACTCTCTTCACTTCGTCTCTCTGGTTATCTGTTCAGACCGATGAGTGCATAATATATATATATATATATATATATATATATATATATATATATATATATATATATATATATATATATATATATATATATATATATATATATATATATATATATATCCAAACTTCCATTCTCGTATTCATTAACGCGATTTAAGTCAATGATATGTGTATATTTCAATAACAATCATTCATCCGATCTAATTAAAGTCATATTGCATTACTAAATGTCCAACTTCAACCAATCCACGAAACTAAGTCACCATCCATCATTATCATTAGTTAGTTATGATCATATAACAGACTTGGTTCAACTTCATTAGTTACACTTTGAATTATTTCGACCGCCCTCCCCCCCCCCCTTCAAAAAAATATCATACAAGATTACCTGTAAATAGCTTGTAAGAATTTACGTTGATGTGCTCGAACACGATGTGAATTAAATGTTGGCATTAATTTTGCATGTTTATATAATAACCAAGTTTCTCGGAGTACATTAGCTGCACAATGTTTAACCTAGAATAAAAGAAAGTAATAACATTGAATATAATTATATATATCATAAGTATATTGACATGACAACTTTGATTAAATACCTAAGCGCCCCCAAATGCCCTGGTATGGCCGAGAATGGGGTGGGCCCTCCCTCCCTCTCGAAATGATCTCACACGGACATGCGTATACAGCGTCTGCCAGGGAAGTCCCAGTCACTGCCTTCTCGTGGCGAGGGTGTATTTTACGAAAATGAGAGGACGAAAAGCGAATGTCTGGCGCTTCAACCGGATTCCAAATCAATGGTGCACATGGGCTCAAGTATCGTGAAGGAGCAAATGGAGTATGAACCAATCGTTGGTCACCGGCTATCATGGGACTGCATCTCCTCACGATGCTTCACTGCCTTGTGGGTCAGACCTTTAAGTCAAAGACTCGGGGTCTGGCCCACTAAGAAAACCACCTGCTTCGGTCTGGGCACCCGGGAAGTATCACAGCGCACACACAAAAATATGGTGTGGTGCATATATATTTGGTACCCTCTTGTACCAGTATTTATGTGTTCAAATAAATAAATAAATAAAGATACCAAAGCTGAAATTAGAAGACGTGGAAACATTCACATATCTCAGGAGGATCTTTGATGCAGATGTAAAGGCCATGATTAACAAAGTAAGGACAATATTCTTACATTTGATGAAAATATACAACTTAAAATATCTGTCTGTGAATCAATATCAAAGTCATAATCTTCTATACAAACATGAAGACAGTTCCACTATATGGGGAACTATTACAACCATCATCAAGAGGGTTCAAGTATTTATAAATAATTGTCTACACAAGATACTCAATATCCGTTGACTGGATACCATCAACAATATCCTACTATGGAAAAGAACAAATCAGTTTCTAGTCTCATGGATTCACACTGCTGAGGACTTCTATGTCAGGATGAAACGGCTGTACAATGATTCCAGGTTTTCAATGGTAGTCTTGTTTAGATTGACTCGTGAATTCAACTTAATGATTAGTTAAGAAAACATCACAAGTCGTGAATTTATTTACTTAAATGCATGGAAATCAGTACAAAACGACACCAAAATAAATACATAAATCAATGAGAGCAGTTTCGTTACTACCTATATGAATCTTTTTGGTTAAAGAGGATTCTTCCTCTCTCACAAAGAAAGTAACGGAAATTACAGCAGGAGTGCAAGTGGTTTCTATTCTGAAACATATCCAATAACATCTCAAGCAATTGTTTTGCACTGCTTCTAGCACTCCAACCAGGGAATCGTAAATTACCGACAAATAACAGTCCTGTACAACCTTCTTTCAAACCACGGAACTATATCGTATACTGACCAACACTCTCCTTTTTTCAATCAATCACAAAACTGGGAAAATATGAAACTCGTTAGGACATTTGAAGTACATGTTCAATTCAATGGAGCCAGCGTTTCTAAATGATAACACTACTTGATTTATCGTCACTATGCTCAGACATGTTACTGAATCTCCACACTGCTAACATGATATTTTCACATAGAAACCCTAAGATTTTATTAAACTCCTCAGGCATACCAGAGAGAGGCGGTCTTGACATCAAGAAACACAACGTTCGTTGGTCTGTGATAATTACGAATGTGTTCTTATGTTATACAAACGATGATCTGAAATAGACTTATCTTCCGATAGTTGTTGCATAATTGACTTGAACCATTTCAATCGGTCAGGTTTAAATTCCCTCTGAGGTGAGGGTACATCCAGCTGACGAGTCCGAAAGAGGACGAAACGCGCGTCAAACTGAATTCCATTGCTTGCCACCGTCTATCTTTGCCTATAATACTTGTGACTGAAGATAATATCGAGGCGATCCGCACAGGATGTACATATGCCAACATGAGAATGATCAATTGCAGTCCTAAACATCAGTGGGAAGACTCAAGTAAACCACACCAAGTGAATTTAGTATGTTCTGATATTATTTATCCTTTTATATTTTATTTGTAAGCGATCATCAATTAAATGTTTTCTTCTTTTCAGTATGGGAATTTTTGGAGATTGTAGTATTTTGAAAGTTCATTTGATGATTCAGTCTAATCTAGACCAGAATTGTAAACCTGGAAGCATTGAACGATGTTTTCGTCCTCGTACCGGAGTCCTCAGCCGTGCACATCCACGATCCTGAACACGGGAATCAAACCCAAGATGTTCAGTCGAACTCGTGAACTCTCAACCTACAAGCTACTGAACCATCATCCAGCTATGTTAATGTCTAACTCCAACTGGTCCATGATCTATTCCGAGTTTATACAACATAAACTGACTTCACAGAAAGCATCCTTTTAATCAAATGAATGATCAAATTTGGAATGAAATCCAGCGGTAAATTAAGTTATATGTTAAATATCACCCTGATAAGCATTGAACAGATTCATTTGTTCTAATTGACAAACTTCCACTTTATACTTTAATCTAATTGCTACCATAAATTATGGTTTCATATCAGAACATTCCAAACTACAATAAAATGCTTATTCGTTAGTTTCTTTCAACAGCCTTTCAAATGGAATCTGTTGAAGAGATCTAAAAAATTCTTCAAAAAAACCCGTCAGAAAAGGTTTTGAAAACACTGAGAAACATCTTATCCAATCAGTATTCCATAGACGTTTTAGCAGCTGAGGAGTCCCATACTAGGACGAGACGGCCGTCCAGTGTTCCCAGGTTTCCCATGGTGGTTTAGCTTCCATTGAGTCATGATTTCAATCTAATAAATGTATGTTTATGCCAATAAAACACTAGTGTAATTAACGGACAATAGAGTTATATAAGGGAGGAATAATAGTAATATTAATAACAATCATACAATATAGATCACTTTACTTTTTTGGTTAGTTTACTAGATTCCATAAAATGTAGTACATGTTTTTCAGCTTTAGTCATTTCTAATTTCTTTGAAAATACAGCAACTAATAATGCAGTACAAGCAGAACCCTAAAATTAAAAAAACAAAAACAAATGGGAAACAACAACAAAAACAATCAGAAAGGGGTTTTGTGAATATTATAGTACGTTAATAGTTGTATTCATGAATCAATTGAAGTTGACTCAGTGATCTAGAGGTTAAGCATTCGCGTGAGAGACTGATTGGTCTTGGTTTGGAAATTCACGAGGTTGGATTGTGAATATGCACTTTTGAGAAGTCTCATATTGGGACGAAACGGTCATCTAGTGATTCCAAGTTTTCCATGATGGTCTAGCTTCAATCGACTCATGAATACAACTATTAAACAATTAAAGTTTATTGAGAAGGATTACGTTAGATTATAAAGTTGTTTGGTAGAATGACATGATTTCCAATGTTTATATACTATATTACTAATGATATTAGCAATTCATAGTGACGTGAATGGTACTATGAAGATGGAATAGTAACTCATTGATTGAAGAATTCAACTTCTACTCCATAAGTCGTCAGTGAATAAATCTGAACTTGTTAAATGAATTACATTCATCATTGTGAGATCAGTAGAAATAAAATAAGACAAAACTATCTATATATCTATTTGAACACATAAATATTAGTACAAAGAGGCACCGAATACGTATGCGCCACAAAAGTCACTTGATTTGTGTGAGAACTGTGATATTGCTTGGGTGCCAAGACCGAAGCAGACGGTAGTCTCAGGGGACCACACCAGGAGTCTTTGACCTGAAAGTCTAATCCACAATGCAGTGGAGCAACATCAGGAGATGGAGTCCGATGATAGTCGGTGACCAATGATTGGTTCATACACCCTTTGTTCCCTTAGGATACTGGAGCCTATGTGCACCACTGGTGTGGAATCAAGGTTTCCCAACTCCCCTATGTGAACTCTTCATATCCACCAACTCGGTTAAAGCCCGTGCTGGACATTCGCTTCTCGTCCTCTCAATTTCGTAAACAATAGTAATGCCGTGAGAAGGTAGTGATTAGGACTTCACTGGAAGTGAGTGTATACGTGTGGCCATATGAGAGCATTTCGAGAGGGAAAGCGAACTCACACCACCTTGGCCGTGCTTGAGCATTTGGGCGCGTTGACGAAACTAACCGATAAATGGTGAAAGGTAATCTGCAGTGAACCCTGAGCTTAAATCATGCTGGCTGATATTCACTAACAAGGCGTACTTGTACTTTTAGATAGATAGAAAACCAATCAGTAATATTCAGATATGACTAAGGATTAGAAAACATGATATTACTGTCTACATGGTAATCGATCAATACAGAAAAGACTGTTTATTACGTAACTAGTATAGTTAGAAAGAGGCAAATATGCAACTTCAGTTTGCTACCAAAAATAGGATCGATCAACGGATTCACTTATCCAATAATCATTTTTAATCATTATGACACTGGTAGTTCATTGATATGTGGTACTTACTTACTTACTTACGCCTGTCAACCCTCACGAAAAAGGATAGGCTTCCTACCCAACACCCTCCATCCAACCCTGTCTTACGTAATCCTTTCCAGTTGCAATCCCGAATGTGATAAGTTATTGATTATTCATTGAGGAGTATTAATCCGTTTAAGGTTATACGAAGTTTGGATTTTCAAACAATGTTAAGTAAGTTTATAGGTTCCAGTATAATGAGGAACTGTTTCTAATCTAATTTAACTTGTAATAGTTTGGATTACCCTGTTCTTGGAATTCCTAAACTGAATTTCCATTGATCTTAGTTGGCATCTGTGCATACAATGTAGATTGTCACATTAAATATATTACTTCACAAGTTGTTTCAAAAAACAGACAGGATGTGACTAGCAATAGAATCCAAAAATCACGAATCCTAGAGTGAACTTCAGCTACATCCAACTGTCAAGTCCCTAAAGAGACGAAGCATGCACGCTCCATTAGGCTGCTAGACTTATTTCATGTATTCGGTTTCAACTTTTCAGTTGCGTCATCTGATTTGTATACTCATCATCTGAGCGACTCAAGTTTTTGTATATAATAGATTCATAAGCAACTAATACCAGTATGTCTTCTGTGGGAGAAGACCAACCAGCTTCCAGCTCAAGAGCAAATTAGGAAAAGATGTTGGAAATAGATAGGACATACATTACACAAATCACCAAACTGCATCACGAAGAAAGCCCTAACTGGGAATCCTGAAGGGAACCGGAAAAGAGGAAGGCCAAAGAACAAATTGCATGGGGAAATAGAAGCAGATATGAAAAGGATGAATAACAACTGTAAAGAGCTGGAAAGGATTGCCCAGCTTAGGGTTGGATGGGGGATGTTAACAGGCGTAAGTAAGTAAGTAAGTATACAAAGCGCTAGTGTTTCAAACTTTCCATATCGTAAGAAAAAAGCAATAATATTAACACATTGTTTAAGGGAGATTGTAATTTATGAGCGAACCAATCAGATTTAAGACAACAAATCTTGACGCGAAATTCAATCATCCATTTAGTTAAATGATGTTTTAGCATTTTAGTTGATGTCGGTTTATGATGAAAATCCTAATTCTAATTCTTAACCCCAACTATCAACTCTTCACACTATTTTATAACCCTTAAGTAACCCTAGTACATTGAAGGATATTCTCCGGGGTCATTTTAGTATTAATCGTTGGTTGTTACGCCGGGAAATGGAAATGGACATGAGAAAAATGAACAAGAATTGGATGGAACTAGAAAAGAAGGCCCATGACAGAGTGTGTTGGAGAATGCTGGTCGGCGGTCTATGCTTCATTGGGAGTAACAGGCGTAAGCATGTAAGTAAAATCATAGTCTCATTCATTTAAACAACATAAATAATAACTTGATATAATATATAATCTTACCATAAGACCAGTAGCAACAGCAATTAAGCGACCACAACTTGTATGTGGTACAATATCACCATAACCAATACTTAAAAATGTAACGGATATAAGCCAAGCCGAATTTAATAAAGATAAATGATTATCTCCTTGTTCCCTATTGAACAAAATAGAAATAAATAACAAACATAAAAGATACTACTTATGATAGACTTAATGATAGAGATAGTCAAATATACTTTATATTGAATGAATGAATGAATGAATAGATGAATAGATGAATAGATGAATAAAGATAATATGTGACATGGAATTATTATCAATGTAAATAATGTCAATAAGATAATGATCATTGTTTACATAATCAACTTGTTTTATTGTGTAATATTGACTTAGTATTAGAGATTATAACATAAGATAAGGCAAGAATTTGAGCTTCTTTAAGTCTATACAGATGCATATATGTTTCAATAATTGAGATCATGAGTCAATTGGAGCTAGACTACCATGGAAAACCTGGAAGCACTGGACGGCCGTTTCGTTCTATTGTGGGACTCCTCAACAGTACGCATCCACGACCCTTCTGATACTAAACAACATATCTTCACTAGTGACTGGCTTCAAGATATAAATCCTGGAGTTCTAGTGAGAAGCAGTGACCAGTGGAGCTCAACCGGGTCAGTTGTGAGATAGTAACTCACTGATGACAATCGTGGATGTGTCGCTCAGTTTCGTGGATTAGTTGAGGTTAGACATTAAAACCGTTGAACGCCAGCCAGCTCACTGGTCTAGTTGGTTAGGCGCCTGGCGCGGGACCGGAAGGTCCTGGGCTCGAGCCCCGTGGGGCGGGATCGTGGGTGCCCACTGGTGGTCCCACAGTAAGACAGGATGGCTGTCCAGTGCTCTGGGTCTTCCATGGCAGTCTAGCATCGATTGACTCATGATCCCAACAATTGAAATTACTACAATCTCCACAAAACCCCTTCTGATACATATATTTTTGTTGAGAAATATAAGTAAAGATGAATGATGGTTAGTAGAGGAAACTAGGATAAGCGTTTCATGTTATTTAAAACTTGTCAGATGGATGTAATTGTATTTTAGATATGTTGATATTCACTCTAGGACTCGAACTCAGTAACGCACACTTTAAACACCACCTCGTTATCTACTTCTTAGGTTCGAGTCCCGGAGTGAATAACAATAAATCTGGGATGCAGATACATTCAGCTGATGAGTCCGAAATAGAACGAAACCTGCGTTGTGGATTCCACTACTGGCTACCATTCATTTTGGCTTGTAGTACTTGTGATTGAAGGTAATACGCACAGGATGCACATATCCCAACAAAAGACTGATAAATTGCAGTCCTAAACATCAGTTGGAAGATTCAAACAAACAATACAAAAAATGAACATTGTTTTTGGTTTATGATATACATCCTGTACCAATGGTAAACAAATTCTCAGTATACGGTCCTAGGTTTGATTAACGGTTTCCAGGTCGTGGGTGCCAACTGCTAAACAGTCTCTTAGTGAGACAAGATGGTCGTTCAGTGGTTTCAGGTCTTCACTGATTATCTAACTTAGATTAATAAGTGGGTTTAATGAAAGATTAATAAGTTTTTGAACACAGAAATTTGGTTACTATGAACCTCAACATATTGTGGCAACACCATTATTATGCTTATGATTTTCATGCAAAATGACATGTTTCCTTAAAACGATTTCAAGTAATCTTACTTCTGACTGACTTAGTGGGTTTTTCTAAATGATCATGTAGAGAGCGAAATGTGGTTTGGTTATCCATGTATAATCGATGAAGACAATAATAGATGGTGGTGCAATCTCGTGGGTTGGTTGAAGTTAGACATTAACACCGCTGAATGCCAACTCATTGGTCTAGAGGCTAAGCGTTCGCGCACGAAAACGAACGTTTTTGGTTCGAATCATGCGGGTAGAATCGTGGATGCGCACTACTGAGGAATCCCATACTAGAACGAAACAGCCGTCGAGTGCTTCCACTTTTTCTACATTAATCTAGTTTCAGTTGACTCATGAATTCAATTATTAAATTACTATAATCTCCACAAAATCCCTTACTGATAATATACATATTTATTGTTTCAGCCATCAGCAAGATCTGCAACGTTAATTTGACTGATTGCAAATGAAAACGAATAATGTCACATATACAACATAATACACACTCAATCATTCGCTACTGAAATATTAGTTGTTTAAGTGTAGTCAACAAAAACACAATCTGACCTATGTTTCTTGATAGTTGACATTCATGAGAGAAAGGTGTACATATGAAATCATGACTGAAAGGACGTTGGTTGATTAACTGGATCATCATCATATATATGTATGTCCATTAAAAATTTGCCGCCTATAGCGTACTTCTCATTTTCAGTAAATGAAAGACAATTTCGTTCATTCATTTCATGTATGTATGGGTTTATTCTATTACAATCAAACAGCATAGCCAACACCGCATATTGTGATTGGTAACAATAACGATATCAGTAGTACTAGGAAAGATTAGAGACAGTAAGATTCAACAAGAATGGATGAATAATTCCGAGCTGTGTGATTCAACGTCTATAACAAGTGATTAAAATCGTCTCACAGACATTAACGAGATAGTCCTGACTTACCTATACAGCTCCTTATATAAGTGGACTAATATTAGGCTTTAGTTATGACACACTTAGCTTCCTTCTTACCTACTCTATCATCAGTAAACATCATACATTGAAGTATGCGATGGTCTTAACCATGTAATACAAATCTCAGTAGTCTTTGTCTATGTAGATTTACTCTCCAATCAATCTATTGACCATCCTTAATTAATACTCTGTTGTTAACGATTGAATTGATTATTTAGTGGTTCCAAGATATATGATTACTGCTTTAGCGATTTTATTGACAAACATTATATTATAACCGTTTACCTTTATATGCTCTGCTTTAAGCTATACATTTTGAATACTATCCAGCTACTTAAACACAATTCATTACGTGGCATGTGCTACTGATGTCAACAGATATAAGTAGTATGTATGATCAATTGAAAATGAAATACCTGACGATAGAAGGTTAAGAAGATCAAAGAGAAGAGAACGAGAACAGTGATTGATTGGTGTGGAAACGAATGAACAATGAAGTCTGAGATAATTGATTGAGATCTTGAGCCGATTGATGTTAGACCACCATCGAAAACCTAGAAACACTGGACGGTCGTTTCATCCTATTGTGGGACTCCTCAGCAGTGCGCATCCACAATCCCGCTCGAGGGATTCAAAACCAGGGCCTTCAGTCTCATGCGTGAAAGCGCAAATGTGTTAATGTCTAACCTCAATCAAACCACGACATTGCGCCACTAGGTTTTCAATGATGGTCTAATATCAATCGTTTCACAATCTCAATCAATAACTTAATAATCTCCATAACCTTATACTGATATTCTAAGACAATTGATTGATAATTTGAAGATGAATTATTTACTGTATGCCTCTTAGATTCTAATAATAGATTCTGTAATTTTGTATTCAATTACATCCCAATGTTCCCATTTGATGTTCTCGTTCACCACAATTAAAGAGCATAACTCAAAACATACAACATATGCTCACTAATCCATTCAATCAACATGGAATGTTGAGATTAGATGGTGGTTGGAGGTAGTCGACAGGAAATCCGGGTCCAGGGTTTTCTGTCGACTACCTCCAACCACCATCTAATCTCAATATATAGTGCACGCAGTGTCGAGTCACCTAGACTAGTGGCCACATTGCAACATGATAGATAGCATTCGATCTGCACTAAATAAGGACTTGACACACACATGACATTGATCACCACCCAGTGATCAATCAATTGTGATTACATGGAATGTATAAACAAAACAAAAGCATACAACTTACAATTCACAAGCTCTTAATGTCCAACTGAATATTATCCATATTGTTGTAATGAAAACAAGTAATGCTTTCGCTGGACATAATGTCATTAGTGTTTTCAATACAAATTGTAAATTGAAACTGACCTAATTGAATGTTGTTCATGAGAAAAAAAAGAAGAAGATAGTGAATATAACTTTACGCTAACGGATTAAATAAGGATTGTGAGAAGTACTTGTTAATGACAACTTACTTACTTTTTTACTTGCTTACACATGTCAACCCTCGTGGAGGAGTATAGTCCTTACAATAGGGTTCTTCATTGAATTCTGTTTTGATAAATCCATTCCATTTGTTATTCATTCTTTTCATGTGTACTTCTAATTCTTGATACAGTGTGTTCTTTGGACTCCCACCTTTCTGGTTTCTCTTTCAAGATTTCTAGTTAGAGCTTGCTTTGTGGCGCAGTTTGAGGATTGTCACAATGTATGTCCTATCCACTTCTAACATCCTTTTCCAAATTTCCTCTTCAGATGGAAGTTGATTTGTTCACTCTCACAATTGGCTGTTGTTGACGGATATTGATCATCTTGAATAGACAACTGTTTATAAATATTTGTACTTCATTGATAATGGGTTTAGTAGTTCTCTACGTTTCAGCTTCGTACATCAGAACTAACTGTCTTGACATTTGTATTGAAAATTCTGAGTTTGATGTTGGCTGACAGATAGTTGTTGTAGAAATGTTCAACCAGGTCTGTTGTGAGATAACAACTCACTGAAGACAATGGTGTACGGTGGAGCAACTTCGTGGGTTGGTTGAAGTTAGACATTAACACCGTTGAATGCCCGCGCAGTGGTCTAGTTGGTTAAGCACCTGGCGTGAGACTGATAGGTCCTGGGTTGGAATCTCGGGGTGGGGGTGCGGGATCGTTGATGTGCACTGCTGAGGAGTCTCACAATAGGACGAAACGGCCGTCCAGTGCTTACAGATTTTCCATGGTGGTCTAGCTTCAATCGACTCATGATTTCAACCTCTGAAATGATTGACTGATGTTTTGGAAATGAGGTATTTACTGTATGGTTCTTAGATTTTACTAAGAGATTCTGTAATTTGATAATGAAATACATTTGATTGTACCCACTTCTGTTCTCCTTCACTATAGTAGAACTTAAAACCTAAAATGTTCCGACCTATCACTTAATTTTACAACCACTGATGAAAGTTAACTTGTGGATCTCAATCAGGTAGTCTTTAATTACTTAAGTGATTAGATTAATAGTTAGTAACTGTGCTAAATTGAGGTCATATTTTGATTCATTCAGTCCATATTCTCTTCTAACTCTTTCCTAAATCAGTTAATCACTAAGATAAGTAGTGTTTGGGAATATGTAACACAAGTTCCAACCACCATAAACTCTAATTGTTTCAACCTTACCAACTGTTTTTCTATCCTTACCCTCTTTTAATATAACACTACCTAGTTATGTTTCTCTGTATGATTCGTAATCGATTGGCGGGTATAGGTAAGAGTGTGTGATTAGCCCGGTCTCCACCACCCGGGTTAGGGTGGTGGAGATCGAGAGGAGACACGACCGGGATGTGTAGGTCGGATTTCCATAACTGTGTATGATTTTGAATGTTCATCCTGATTACCAAAAGTTATGATAAACATTCAGTAATATTAACTTCAATAATAATGGTGATTTTGACACTCGGTCACTTGACAAAACTTTCTGGTCTGTTCATATTCAGTCATAACACTATAGTACCATTATACCTAACTGTAAGAAAGTCAACAGTATACTTTCAATAGTTGAGATTATGAGTCAATTGAAGCTAGACCATCATGGAAAACCTAGAGGTACTGGACGGCCGTTTCGTCCTATTGTGGGACTCCTCAGTAGTGCGCACCCACGACCCCGCCTCATGAGATTAGAACCCAGGATTTTTTAGTCTCGCACGTGAGCGCTTAACCACTAGACCAATGAGCTGGCCGGCATCTAACGGTGTTAATGTCTAACTTCAACTAATCCACGAAATCGAGCGACAAATCCACTATTATCACCAGTGAGTTACTATCTCACAACTGACACGGTTGAACGCCACTGATCTGAACAATTAAAATTACTACAATCTCCATAAAACCCCTTCTAATACTAGTCAACAGTATACATTGAATGTAGGTTTAATGGAAAATTCTTTCTATGAGTGTTAAACTTACATAATCTACTTTCACAGTTAGAACTGATTCCTCTAACCTATTCACATAATTTGTGAATCAATATTAGATGTTTGACATATTAATGCTAGACATTACCGACTAAATTTCATAGACCAGATGGCGTTGTAGGGATTGTTGAACTTTTGATTGAGATCATGAATCGATTGACGTTAGACAACCATTGAAAACCTAGAATCACTCCACGGCCATTTCGTCCTAATATACGACACCTAAGTAGTACCCATCCACAATCTCTCACATGGGAATAGAACCCAAGATCTTCAGCTTCGCAAAAGAACGCTTAACCTATAAACCATTGAGCTGGTCAGCATCCAATCCATTTTCGTCCATAATTTTCACCAGTAAATTGTAATATGTTTTTATCAATAAAAAAGCACATTGGTAATAATGATAGTAAGAATCAATCAATTTCATTTTACTTCAAGAAAACACATACATCAAATACATTCTTGATGTATGACCACTTCAAAATGACTTAAGCATCATAAGTCATGGAGCAATCGAAAGAAAGAAAAACAGAAAGAAAGAAAGAAGGAAAGGAGGAGAGAAAGAGCTGGAGAAAATGAATAAAACACTCAAATTGTTTATCTTCTTTCCTTTTCTTTTCATCCAAATTAGTCAATAGTAATAGTAGCAGTAGTAGTAGTGGTAGTAGGAGTGGGAGTAGTGGTATTAGTAGTAATAATAATAATAATAATAGCAGCAGCAGTAGTAGTAGTATAATTCAGTTTTGGAATAAGATAGATTAGAAAGTAGGTGAAGAATATATAGATAGATCATACAATAGTTTGATGCATAGAATAGTTGTGAAGAAATCAATCGATACAAACACTATACAGGTATTTACATCATGAATGAATCCCCCCCGTCCCCCCCAATCTCTTAGGATATTTTGTTTCTTCGACAGAATGGAACTACTGAAAATATGCCAATCCCTTTAGACTCAAACTAATGGGTGTTTTATTTTCAATCTATTGGGCTATTTTGAAACAATTAAACCATGGTCTATCAAAAGATGATATTAACATAGGGGTCTAAGACTAAAATTAAATAGTTGATTGGTTCCTTTCAGTTTTTTTTTATTACTGATACTCCCAAACGCCCTGGTACAGTTGATAGTGGGGAGAGTGAGATCTCCCACTCGAAATACTCTCTTATGGCCACGTGCATACAACCATTGTCAGGGAGGTCCTAGTCACTTCCTTCTCGCAAAACGGATGTTTTTAGTAAAATTGAGAGGACGAAAAGCGAATGTTCGACACGGGCTTTAACAGGGTTGATGGATACGCAGAGTTCACCAAGTGGAGTAATAAAACTCTGATTACAAACCAATGGTGCACATGGGCTCCAGGATCCTGAAGGAACAAATGGTATATGAATTAGCCGTTGGTCGCCGGCTACCATCAAACTGTATCGTCTGACGTTGCTCCGCTGCCTTGTGAGTCAGACCTTCAGGTCAAAGGCCCTCTAAGAAAAACACTTGCTTCGGCTTGGGAACCCGGGAAGCCCTGACATAAATCAAATGATTTATATGGCGCGTATCTATTTGATGCCTCCCTGTACAAATTTTATGTGCTTAAATAAATAAATAAATAAAATCTATAACTGATATTAGACTGCAACAAAATGATCACTAAATGAAGACTGTTATAGATTTGGGAGATTTCAACTTGTACTTTGAGGAATTTATCCTGAAGAATTTGCTAGAAACCAAATTGATTCTCACATTTTGTAAATATGATAGAGATGTAACTAATGACGAAACTGATATTAGTCGGTGCAGCGAGGTAGATATAATAGTGATCAATGTTTTATTCATGTCTTATTGTCATTCATCGCTGATCGAATGCCATCGATCACGTTACATTTCATTTATTACTTTGGGTGACTAGACATCAAATAGATTATGTTGAGATATTAGGCGGTTGTATGTAGTTGCTGGTTGACACTTATTAACAAGATGGAACGAAACAATTGACGGCAGTGACGCTGAGTTTTAAGTCACTGAATAAACTTGAGAATCGGCTAGTATTCAAAACTTCTTTGAATGATCAACTCATGAGTTGTAACATTTTCTGTAGAAATAATTTTGTTTAAAATAAGCTCTTAAGATGTTGAAGACGATTTGTAGCTCAGTTGGATGATTTTGATGGAGTTTTGTTATCTGAGCTGGATGGTTTGGTCGTGGAGCTTTCATCGTTTTTCTGAATGACATCATCAGCACAAACTTCAGTTTGAAGTGTACTGATAATGTCGTTCAGAAGAACGATGAAAGCTTCACAACCAAACCATCCAGCTCAGATAACAAAACTCCTTCAAAAACTCCAGTATTTTGCACTGATATGCATATCAATGATAAAGTTTAATCATTTCATAGAAATGAATTGATTTAATCCCTCTAAATGGTCTGTTATCTCTAATGTTATATATTATTATTTCAGCATATTGGTAACTTGTATTGGCTGGTCCATTAGCGAAGCTACATAGATTATTCTAGCTTCCGGACTGGCCGATTCATTCATTCACCTCAAGCTACAGTTCTAATTTGTCAGTTAACTGTTTTGACATGAGCGCATGTGTGTGCACTTCTTATCTCATTCATCACATGCCTGTAACTTATTTTTGTTCTGCTATTACTGTCAATCAACTTTTGGTGGTTAAATTGAATTGTCTCAGTTGCATCTTTCACTGCGCCTTATTGCGCTTCACTCTTTTCTCTTCGCTTCCTTCGCTTCGTCTCTCTGACTATCTGTTCAGATCAATGAGTGCATAAAATATGTATATTCAAACATGCAGTCTGATATTTGACTTATTTAATTCCGTTATTCACTAACGCCATTTAAATCAATGATTCTATACGAGGATTAACGGCATGTGTATATTTCAATAACAATCAGTAG